TCTCACACATGGTGGGGAGAAGTTCTTGATGTGAACAGCCAGAGTGAAGAGGACTCAGTGATCCTCAGGACATTTAGTAAAGACTCCAGATGGGTCACTTCTTGGTAGTGTTATTAAGGCTGAACTATTCCTGGAGTCAAAGATCTGTATGCTCCTGCCAGCAAAGCTTCAAAACAGTCCTTGAAGGATCAAATTGCTGTTCAAGGAACTTAACCGCATGCCAAAACAAAGTCCAACCCTCTTTAATGGAAGATAACAAAATTCAGACACTTAACAAACAACAATCAAATTGTGCAACACCCAACCCAAACTTACTAGACATGCCAAGAAGCAGGACAATGTGACACGTTAACAGAAGAAAAATCAGAACATAGAAATAGACCCAGAAATTACAGAGATGATAGAAATAATATACAAGAACAGTAAGCAGCTTTCATAACGATGTACAAGTATTTAAAACAAATATACTCATATTGAGGAGAGAAATGAGAGATATAAAATAAAACCACATGGAACTTCTAGAGACAAACACTTCAATATCTAGAATGACACAACAACTGGCTAGAATTAACAGCAGATTAGATACTACAAAAGAAAGGATCAGTGAATTTGAAGGAATAGTAACAGAATCTATCCAAAAAGAAAGCCAGAGTGAGGAAAATTCTGAAGAAAAAAAAGGAAGTAGGAGAGACTCAGTGATCTGTGGGATAACATTAAATAGTCTAACAATGTATACCTAGAGTGCCAAAAAGGGAGATCATGGGGAAAATAGAAAAGAATTTGAGAAAACAATGGTCAGAAGTTTCCAGATTTAATGAGAACTTGAAACCTACAGATCCAATAATTTCGACTTGTCCCAAATGACTGAAAATCAGTGAGAAGGTAGCCAGAGAAAATAAAAGCACTAAAAGAAAACATGGAAAAATTCCTTAGAATCTTGAAATAGAAACAGCCTTTCCAAGTATGACATGAAATCTAAGAGATTGATAAATCTGAAAATACTCAGTTCAGCAAAAACAGTACTATGTTTTCAAATGGTTTCTTTTTCCTCCTAGATATATAAGACTACATTTCCCAGCTCCTTGGCAATTTAGGCAAAGAGATTTTGCTAGCTGGGGCCAATGGAATGTGGACTGAATTGATGCACACATCTTCCAGGACTGGCCCATGAAAATCTCTCATACGCGATCATGATCCTCTTCTCCTTCCACTTCCGCCATAAACTTGGAGGTCTCATGTTGAAGACGGCAGTGTCACAAGACGCAAAGAGCCTGGTTTTTGAACGAATACAAGGTTCAGAGTCGCCACCAGTGCCTCCCTCCACTCCTAGCAAACGCGGTTGGTTATAATGACAGTAAGCAATAAACTTTCATTGTGTTAAGCTAATGGAACATTCAGATTGTATGTTACAGCATCTAGTGTTACTTGCCCTAACAAATACACATCATATTTTTAAACTTCTACATGGCAAAAGGATTTCATAAACAAAGATGAGATGCAAATTGTGAAAGTTGAGGAATATGTTTGCAATATGTATCTCAAAGAACTGAAAAATCAGTAAGAAAAAAACTAACACCACAATAGAAAAACAGGCAAAAGTTATAAGTAATTTTCATGAAAAAAATGCAAATGGCATTTAAACACATCAAAAGATTTTCAACTTCACTTATCATAAGAGAAATGAAAATTAATGAAAATTAAAAGTCTCTTATGGGTTTTTTAAGGCTTTAAAGTTCATTTTTAAAAAACAAAGCTAGAACTTTAATATAATTAAAACAATAATTTATAAACTTCAAAAATAAGAAATAAAAATGTCCTTATAAAAATGCAAATATTAGACATATCTTATCATTCCAATATAGAGTATTAACAGATAAAAGGCTTAATCAGAAAAATAATCTAAACAATACATTAAAATCAGAAACACGTAATTAATCTTGAAAAAATTTTAACGCAATAATATTATGGAGTCTTTTAAAGTTTGATCTTAACCAGTAAAGTGAATGACAGCACCATGGCTATGTTGTGAGTGGAATACTGAGCAAATATTTTCAGTGGCTGAAAAAGCCCTTTCCGACTTTATACCAGTCGTTGCGATGGTGAGCAGACAGTGCTCCAAATAACTTCTAGGAACACCATCACTTCAAACGGTTCTCTCTTTTGTTAACTTGGAGGAGAAATTTTTCAACAACGTTTTTTTGGTAGCAGAGATGGCAACATTTTCATCAATAGCAAACTGGAGCCCATCTTTGATTCGCCTTTGACTTAATGGGATTGAATATGGACTTTCCCCTGCAGCATTTCCTGTAGCACTTTCAACACTGTCACGTCAGTGATTCAGTTCTCTGGAAGTCCTTGAACTAGAGTGAAGTTTATACTCGCCATAGAAGCTTTGCCAAACCACGCCAGACTAAGTGGGACTCATGACGGCTTGGTCCTATCTCACCTTGCAGACCACACACTCTTTTTGTTTTTCAATTTTGGTATAAATTTGCGTAATTAAGTCATCAATTTTTATCTTAAAATATAAATAATTCTGAATTCAGATTGAGTCAGAAAAATAATGGTATGTCCCCCCAAAACCATATTTTTCTACTTAAAACAGACAATATGCCAGGAAACAGGATTACAAGAACTGGCATGATAACCTTTCTTCATTTTCGTAGACTGCAAATTAGCGTTAATGATAACTCATTGTCTTCGTGGGAAGATTACAGAGATGATGAAAATAAAATATCTAGAGCATAGAAGACACTCAAATGGAAGACGAAGACATTTCTGTAGGTAAAAAGCTGAGGTTGAACAAAACGAAGCTGGGATTTGGGTCACATGGAATGAATATTTTGATTGACAGTGTTCAGATTGCTACCGGGAAGGATACTCTTTTTACAGAGCCTGGTCGGCTCCGGTACGAGACTTTCTTCAACAATGTGCTGTATGAAAACTGCCCCAATAAAAGAAAATGGAAGCAGTTTAAGTGGGAACTGAGTGGCACTAAAGAGAGAAGGAGCCAAATTTTCATCATGGTTTCATATAATTAGAGTGATTTTGGTTATAGGGGGTCATCCTGCTAAAAAGATATTAATCATGACAGTTGTCAAATCTTTTTTGGTTGGCTTGTTTGTTCTAGTGCAAAGATTAAGTAGGTTCAACCTATTGAAGGATTTTGGAAAAAAAAGATTCATATAGGAGCACTGTTCTCAGTATTGTATTTATCAGGAATTATTTCCAAAGATTAAAGACAGCTTAGTGCCCAGCTCAGTCTGCTTCAGGACAGGTTTTTCAAGCATTTTATCAAAAGGAACAGCAACACAGTAAATTGAACTTGACTTTAAGACCAAAGAAGTCATTTCAAAAGTTGGCTTTCTTGAATTACCATAGTTAAAAGCTTGCTCTCGCCCTGAGACCCCCTGAACCTTCATTTTACATTCCACAGCAGGTCAGATAAATCATATGTCCCATGGCTCCCCACAGCACCCACTCAACATGCTGGTGAGGACAGAACTTCCAAAGCCTGTCGAATGACAACTAACACTTTGTGCACCCTTCCCAACCCACCAGGGATGAGCAACTCCTCTCAAGGTCCATTCTCATTACTAACTAAATATATGTATCAAGTGTTTTAAAGAAAGGATTTCCCTTACATGATCATTAATAAAATGGCACTCAAGGGATGAAACCCGGGAAGCCTAGCTTAGAAAGCTATGGGATGCAGCCTAGAACCTCCAAAAGGACTCATTCCATCATGGCAATCTGATGAATGTACGAAGCTGAGGGACGTTTGATTTCAAACTGTTGAAGTGGGGCAGACAGAGTTCAGAATAAGTGCTATGAAAACCCCTGGTCACAGAGCAGCTCTAAGGAGATTTCAGATGACTTACTCTGCCACCTTTCCATCTATTTTTGTCCAGCTGTATTCATGGTAACTATGCCACTAGAAACTCTTGATGTCTTTAGCTCTCTCTGCCATATGCCATATGCATATCTCCTGGCATCTGGAAGTTTCTGGAAGGGCTGTGCTGAGGTCTATTGAAATATCTGCTGACATTATGTCTCTTGTCAGTAGATTTCCAACCCTTCAATCAATGATTCAGGGCAGAAGCTCTTAGACTGGGCAGACTGCTTTTAGATTTTCATGTCAGTAGTTGATCTATTCACAAGGAGGTCTACAGAATTAGAGGGACTTACAACTGGTGGATTCCCAAAGAAATGGATACTTGAATATTCTGGCAAAAGGGGATTTGTAAAGCCATTCTACTTTAGTGGGAATTTCTTTTCCCTTTCTTTCCTTTCCCTTTTATTTCGTCTTCTTTGTTTGGTTGGTTGGCTGGTTGGTTGAAGGCTGCTTGGATTTTTGTGGTACTGAGTTTCAGGGCACAGTCATAATAGGTATGTTTTACATTTTTTTCAAATATAAAATCTTAATATTGAATTTGCTTTACATTGAATATATTTTTTTCTTTTTTCACATTGGCTGTAAATTCAATGTTATAATTTTATATTATTTTCATAGAAATTTCAGAAAATGCAGCTCAAGAAATTTTCTTATAGAAATTTTCTTGATATATAGAAGGTAGTGATATTTTTACATTTGTCAAAAAAAGCTTTTCTTAGGGGCCAGCCCTGCGGCCAAGTGGTTAAGTTTGCTCACTGCATTTCAGAGGCCCAGGGTTTTGCAGGCTCAGATCCTGGGCACCGACCTAGCACTGCTCGTCAGGCCATGCTGAGGTGGCGTCCCACACGGCACAATCAGTAGGACCTACAACTAGAATATACAACTATGTACTGGGGGGCTTTGGGGACAAGAAGCAGCAGCAGCAGCAGCAGCAGCAGAAGAAGAAAAGAAGATTGGCAACAGATGTTAGCTCTTTAAAATCTTTAAAGAAATAAAAAAGAAAGCTTTTTTAAAATGAGAAACCTTGCTGTCATCCATATCTTCATTTTGGTGGCTCACAGGGCTTGTTACCTGAGAAGCAGGGTTCCCAGTTCTCAGCACTGACCTGGGAATCGAATGGGAGTTTGACCCCCATGATGATGGTGTCTAGTTCACAGAATTGTTTGAGAGAGCATTTCTGAAAAAGGCCAGCTCGGCGTCTGATCCTGTGGATAAATAGAGGTGAGCAAGGATTAAAATCTCTATCTAACTAGAAAACTTGAAGATGGCCTGAATGTTTGCCATGCCTGAAATGTGAACTAGAAATGGTCTTTTGACTAAAATCTCAAATTCTTGTGTTTTCTTGCCCTTTTGGCTTTTTACTCTGCACACAGAAACATGTTCAGTTATTTGCAGTTTTTGTTACTGAGCCTCTAGATAATTAAAGTTTTATATGTCTGTCTGGAAAGACAGACATTAGGTTCACTGTTGTATGATGTTTTATTTGATAGCTATGTGTTTAGGAACATGAAAAAGCATGTTTTTGAAGCAGGCTACAGCCAAGATGGATGCTGTGGTCACACGTGGCTGTTCCCGGCTCTTTAGAAGGGTGTGGGAGTTTAAGTGGAGCACAGAGAATCACTGGAATTTGGAGACTCCCCAAATTAAAGTAAGAAGCACGTTGGGACTCAAGTTTAAACTGGAGAGATTTGAGAACAGTTAACACCCTGTGATATCTATAATCCTGCTACTTGGTATCCGCTCATTTTTCAATTTAATAAGGACTGATGAACCTTCAGTTTCAAGTCATAAAAAGATGTTACAAAGCAAGACTGCATCCTGAAACCGTCTGTGAGCTTTCCTGGAACTGCTGCCTCCAGACACTGCAGTGGAAGTTCTGCCCGAGTTTCTGTTATTAACTTCTATAGCTAGGTTTATAATTTTATTCTAGAAAAATGCTGTGGCCAAAACCTGACAAACAGACTCCCGCTTCCGTGTAAATGGAAAACTGGAAGGGAAGACAGGCAGCTATGATTTTGTGCACATTTTGCATTTTCTTCGTTTCTACCCAGGAATTCCGGGATGTTTGTATTTGTGTGCAGGAGGCAGACACGTGACACGTGCAGGAGTGTCCCCACCCCCGCCCCCCGCCCCCCGCAGAGAACCTGCGGTGAAGGCTCTCCTGGAAACCAGAGATGGAGGCCTTTGGCCTGGCGTGCCTCTCAGAGCCAGCCTGCTGGTCTGGATTTGGTACCACGTCTCTCCAGTAAAGGTCTCTGTGCTTCTGTTCAGGATTTTGGTGACAAGGACTTCGACATCCTCACAGTGCTCGGTATTGTGTGCACTCTATCACTAATGACCGTTACTCCCATAATCCTTTTGCTTAGAATTCATAGAGCTTTTGCTTTAAAATAAATAATTTCTGAAATTATTTTTCTTTGTTTGCTCCCTCCTACTTTGTTGAGACTAAAAAGAATGAGTTTGGACAGTTTATTATTTTTTATTTCAGCCTCTGACCCATTTACGCAAACTGTCCCTCCTTAGACTTTTCTTTTTTTCTCATTTTTCGCTAAGAAAAATGGAGCATATCATGCCAAGAAAAATATTTTCTTTACCAAGCATCTTCCAAGAAACTGAGTTTTTGCTACAAGTTTCTAAGAGCAGCCCGAAAGCTGGAGGAGCCTCCGCATCTTATCTCGGCCTTCCATTTGGAACCCTCAGTCTTTTAGCTTTGCCTAAGCAGCACTTTCCAAATGTCAAGGACAGTTTATTCCATTTTAAGAGAAGGATTTCAAGTTAATATAGTTTTTCAAATCTTTCTATCTTTTGGCCTCTCTCTTGAATAATTCCTAGATGTAAGTAAGCCTTTCTGCGGGCTTATCATGTAATTATTGACCTTAGAGGACTCCTCCTGACTCCACCCTCCCTCGTCTCCGTATTTGTTAATTTAAATACCGCAGTCTCTAGAATTCCATCCAGTGGTTGGCATTTGCTGCTGGTGTGTGTTTCCCGCATGACAGTCAAATATCATTACTGCCAATAGAAAACTCCACGACCTTGGAAGGGTTTGCAAATCCAGCCAGAGTTTTTACAAGGCAAAAGGAGGCTAACTTTATGGATCCTTCTAGAAGGACCTAGCCTTCCTCACCTTCAACTCCTTTTCTGTGTGTTTGCCTAGCCATGGCATGCACTCCCTCAGAGCAGGGACAAGATTAGAGGAGAAGATGAGAAACAAAAGGAAATGGATGGAGGCCACACAGGCAACTGTCGCAGAAATGAGAGGACTGCTAGGAAAAGGCAGACTCCAACTTTTAGGATTAATCATTTCTTGTCCTCTTTTATATATTTTTCGTTCTTTATTTCGAGCCCCGAAGAGGTTAAAGCAGAGAGACGAAATGAAATATCGTCTCCAGGAATTTTGTACTTCTGAGGGCGTCCCCCAGGGTTTTCTCACGGAGCGAGGACTCGGCCATCTCCCTCTGCCATCACTGTCAACAACAGGAATGCGACAGGACCTGCCCGTCTTTACCGATGTCACTGCAGGTGCCATAACTAAACGATGTCCCTTTAAATTCACCCCCTTTAGAGTGACTTTGCACATTTAAATGGACTGCTAGACAGCTGCGGCAGGACAGAATTCTCTGACGGCTGACATCTCCGGACTGAGCTCTTTGAGTGCGTGCTTCTCAAATTTAGTTAGTGTACCTCTGGGGCACGAAGCAATCCACAGAATAAATGGCATCGATTTTCCTCAAAAATGTGGGAGGGTGGAGAAGAAATTAAGACAATGTAACTTAAAATAGTTTTATAATAAAAAAACACAGTGGTTATATCTTCACGTGGAACGCCAAGCCCCGGCCTCCCAGAACAGAGCACAGGAGGTGCAGGGCGTGCTGGGCGGCGGGCGGGGGCCAGGCTCGGCGGGAAGACCCCCGAGCAGCCGCCTTGCGCCTGCGCTTCTCTGCTCACGGGCTTGCCAAAGGGTGAAAGGCAACCTTTTTAAAGGTTGTAATTACAAAAAGGCGATGATTCTTAGTGAAGATTCAAACTCTCTTAAATTAAAGAAAAAGAGAAAAGAAAGAAAGGAATTCCTGGATTCGTGTAATTAAAAAGTCAAGGGCAGGTATAGTCCTAGGCAAGCTTGGATCCAGACAACCACCCATTACCCAGCGACGTCGTTTTCTCTCCGGATCTTGGCTTTGCTTTCTTCTGTGTTAACTTCACTCTCAGGAGACCTTGCCTGTTGGTGGTCCCTGGCAGCCCCAGGCTTTTGTCATCCTTATAGCAAAGAACTGCTGGTCCCAGCAGATGCACCAAAGCCATCCCTGGACCCATGTCTTGCCCAGTGGCATAGAATAAGCTGCTTAGATCACATGCCCGTCTTTAGAGAGAAACAGAGGGCCCAGTCCTATGCAAACTGCCATAGACTGCCGTACATGTGAGTATGTATGGGGAGGGGGCTGTGATGGGTTCAGAAAAAGTGGGAATAGGTGCTGTCAGGTAAAAACTGTGTAAGTTTACTAAGGTGATTTTCCAAAAGCAAATTTCTCCTAAGAGCTCTGAGTACCTCCCACGTAGTGAAGGTGATTCCTGGCCTTGAGAGCACTGGAATTATTGCTGAATGGAACTAACGTTTATCTACCACCTACAACTTCAAGCTTCACAATAATCTCTGGTAGACATTATTAAACCTCATTTTACAGATGAAGACACTGAGGCTCAGGGAGATGACAAGTGATGGTTACAAAATAATGACCACAATAGCAACCCCACCGACTGCCACTTACCAGAACCAGGCCGCTGAGAGTTGCCTGAAGTCCCTCTGAGACTGGTTGGCCATTGCTATGGCCAGAGACATTTTTTTGCCAGTTTCCAGTAAGGTCTATGAATTGGCCTACAGACGTCAGGAAAGGAGAGGGAAGAGAGGAGAGAAGAGGAGAGCAGGGAAGAGAGGGGAGACGAAGGGAGGGGAAGAGAAGGGGGGAGGGGAGGGGAGGGAAGGAGAGGAAAAGAGGAGGGGGCAGGAGGAGGAAAGGAGAGGAGAAGGAGAGGGGAGGAGGAGGGAAACAGAAGAGAGGAGAGGAGGGCAGGGGAGGACGAGACAAGACTAGCAGAAGTGAGAGCCTGCAGAGACCTCGGTGCCAGCTGGGGCGCTGCTGCCGCGCGAGGCCGGTCCTGCGCAGAGATGCCCCCGGGGGCGCGGGCGCCGGCTGAGGAGTCGGAGCGGCAGCTCTGGCCCCGATTCCCTGGGCAGAATTCCTGCGGGCTTGAAAGACGCAAGGAGAGGAAGGCTCCATCTGTCAGAAATGCCTCCGCATGGAAAAGTGAGCAGCCTCAGGTTTCCTCCTGGCTCTAACAGTGTTTTTTCAGCAAAGAGCCGATTTTAGCTGGTAGAGAAAATTTATTTTTTTATGGAAGGACTTAGATTCTTATTCTTCCTGAAAGGTTTTTATTCATTTTATGTGATGTTCCTAAACACACTTAGCGTTGTATTTCATACAAAACTCACCCTCTCACATACATGTGAAATCAAAATGATTTTAAAAATTATGTATGGGTGCTTTGTTTTAATGTGTATTACGGAAAGCATTGGGATATGCATTATTCTATTATAACGTAAATCATACAACAAAATTGTTAGAAAATAAAGGAGGAACTCACCCATAATTTCAGGTTACTAATATAAAAACTGTTATAATTTGGTCTTTTCCTTCCAGTCTCTTTTTCTCATGTGCATGTCATCATAGTATTTGTATAATTTTACACCCCTCCTTTTCTCACTTACTATTTTGAAGGTGTTTCCATTTGGACACATAGTCCTTTTGTCATCATTTTAAATTACTAATATACCACTAAGTAACTACAGCATATTTTTCTTAACTATTATATTATTGGAAATTAAGTGGTGAAGCAAATTTTGATTAATAAGAACTGTGGCATTGAAAAAAAGTTATGATGGGGGCAGGCCCCATGGCCGAGTGGTTAAAGTTCCCTGCGTTCTGCTTTGGTGGTCCAGGTTTGCGGGTTCAGATCCTGGGTGCAGACCTACCCCACTCATCAGCCATGCTGTGGAGGTGTCCCTCACACAGAGTGGAGGAAGACTGGCACGGATGTGAGCTCAGGGTGAATCTTCCTCACCAGAAAAAGAGATGATGACTTTAAGGCAGAAGGCAAAAAATTCTCTATTACCTATAGTAGATAGCTGCTATAGAAATGCTTTTGAAAATAAAACCATGGAATATTTCCAAAGTAACCACTGTTTTTTGTTAATATGCTACTAGAAATTATAGCAGCTGATTTTTATTGATGACCTCCTGTGTGCCAGGCAACAGTCTAAGTGCTTTACAATATTAGCTCCTTCACGTCATCCCCATCCTCTGGGAGGAAGATACCATCTGTAGCCCTATTTTTTTTTTTTTTTTTGAGGAAGATTAGCTCTGAGCAAACATCTGTTGCCAATCCTTCTCTCTTTACTGAGGAAGACTGGCCCTGAGCTAACATCTGTGCCCATCTTCCTCTACTTTACATGTGGGACGCCTGCCACAGCATGGCCTGATGAGTGGTGCTAGGTCTGCACCCAGGATCCGAACTGGCGAACCCTGGGTCTCCGAACAGCAAAGTGCGAACTTAACTCCTGCACTACCGGGCCGGCCCCCTGTAGCCCTATTTCATGGGTAATGCTTGCTCACAGAAAGATGAAGTTACTTGTCCAAGATTATATAGCTAGTAAGTGGCAGGGTGGGGACTGGAACCCATGCTGTCTGGATCCACGGTTTGTGTTCTTAACCACCATGTTTTTAGAAACATATTTTAGAAAACTCCTGCGCATCTGTGGGGAAGCTGGACTCCACAGATTAGGCAGATTTGGGTCCAGTTGTGACTCTGCCTCTTATCAGCTCCGTGTTTAGGCAAGTTACTTAAGCTCTCTGAACTTGAGTTTATCTATAAAATAAAATTAATAGAATTGTTATAAGGTTCAAGGGAAATAATAGAAGCGAAGTGCTGGGCACAGAAGTAGCTGCTCAGCTCATGTTAGTCTCGCCTCTTTTCTGATCACCAGTCTGACAAGCAGCAGGTGAAGGAGCAACGGGCCGATTCCCTTCATTTAGATTGGAAGAAGAAGCTGATAATGGACACTCAATAAGCCCAAGCTTTGGTTTGGTTTTCACCTCAATCCTCAAAAAATACTAAGACATCAGAGCAGGATCATAGAACATAAAAAGTAAGAATTAGCTGAGCGAATGGGAAATCGAAAGATAAGCCATATTGAAAGATGGTCCACATTAACTAGATATATTCAAAAGTGTAGGTGCTCAAGACACAGTCCTAGCCCCAGCACTTGACTGTGCCTTGCATACAGCGGACACTCATAAACACTTGATGGATGACAATGCGTTGATGCAAGCAAGGCTGAATCTCGGACATGATGAGAGGTTGGTGCTTCTTTCTGGCTGGCCTTAGGGAAAATTGTGATGTGGATGAAATTTGTCTTAACTCTGTAAAAGATGCCTGAGTTGTCTCCCTTTTTGGCAACTTGCCTTAGGTCTTCACAGCTTTCATCATTCCCAAATGCCCCACTCTGATATTCTTCTCAGGCTTGCCTCCTTGGATCTACTGGAAGCCTTGACGCTTCCCTTTGCATCCCCTTGTCTTTGCCCCGTCTACCTCTATCAAAGCTTACCTGTCCTTTAGCTCACTACCCCTACCTTCTGGGGTCCTTCTGGGTAACCTGATTCCCTGAATCAAACTTAACTTCTATGGCTGATAATAGCCTAATGGCTCTTTCCTCCCAAGTGAGATTTCAGTGCCTGGGGGTCACAGGGGACAATATTTTGGAGGCATGAGCTTTTGTGCTATTTAGTGGGAAAGTCAGTCCATCTTCTGATGAATTGTCTCTGTTGATGGGAATTTCCAGCAACTTGTTCTGCTCTCCACAGCTGAAGATGTTAGGGAGAACATTTGGATATTTCCACAGAGAGTCATAAAAAGGAGTACAAAAAAAAAAAAAAAAAGGAGGAGACGTAAACACTTTCTTGGAGACAGTGACAGTCACTTTAATATGCATTTCCACTGTGTTCCGTAGAGAGAAAGTAGAGGAGGCTGACGCTGCGGGCTTGTTTGTCCATCCGTTCCTGCATCCCTTTAAAGCATCTGCTCTGCCTTCAGAGGACTCAGTAGCGCTGCTCGACTCAGATGGGAGGATGTGATCAGACGTCAGGGGAAGTTTCCCGGAAAAGGCTTAAACTACTAGAAGCCATTATTCAAGGAAAATGTGAGATCTTTTTCTTTAGAGGTTAAGACAGCTCGTTTCTCTGAAGTGATCTCATTGTGTTTGTTCCTGATAGTATGTGACTGCCCTAGAAGTTTGCTGATGGCCTCTTCTGGTCCTGAGATCAGATGATTCTAGACTGATAGGAGCAAAGATCTAGAGGAGTGCTTTCCCAGGCAGCGTTAAGGCATTACTCCCTCGTGTTTTCTAGTGCTAATGGCGGCAGTTCTCTCAGAGAAAGGGGGCCAGGCCCCACATAGCCCGCATGACTGATGCCCACCTTGGTTGTGTTCAGATCCTTCATCCTTTTTAAGGATAGCTTTGGCCTCCGATGGGCCAGGCTCTCCACTCTTCTTTGGGATTGCCCACACCATCGTGCCATTGTTTGGCTCCTCCTGAGCAGGGCTCACACTTCATCAAGTCATAACTATTTTCTATTTTCAGGAGAAAAATGGACAGTGCCTGAAATATGATCATTGTCTCTAACATGTCCAACAGGCTTGGGAGAAAACGCCAGGGCTTCCCCCTTCTTCACTCCAGCCACATTGGCTTTTTCCTGGTTCTTTCCCGAATGTCCTTTCTCAGGCCAAAATGCTCTCCCCCGGCTGGCTCTTCAAACAACTGGCTTCTTCTCCCTCAGGTTTGGGCTCAGCTGCTGTAGCCTCAGAGCAGCGAGCCCTGACTTCATGATCTACAGGAGCACCTTGCTCGTTTACTGAGGTCTAACAGCACGCTTCTCATTTCCTTTTTAGCAACTCCCTCAATTTGAAACGAATTAACTAACTTTACACATGCGCCTGCACGTGCAAAAACATTGGTACATACTTTGCATGTATATGTTTGTCTACTTATCGTTGGTCTCCTTCACTAGACTCCAAGGTCCCTGAAAGCAAGGAATATGTGCGTTTGTTTCATATCCAGAGTTAAGCACACAGTAGGAGACCTCTGTACATTCACTGAATGAATGAATGAATACCCATAAGCCCCTCACAAGGGAACACTGAAGCTCCATGGTCTACACCTGAGCTGTCCAGCACGGCGGCCACCACCACAGGTGGCCACTGGGCACTTGAGACAAGGCTCACCCAAACTGGAATGCACCAGAAGTGTAAAATATCCCCCAAACTTCAAAGAGTTAGTACAAAAAAGCATGTAAAATATCACATTAATAATTTTTAGATTGATTACACATTTAAATAATATCTTAGATATATTGAGTTAAATGAAATGTAGAATTTGGTATTAAAATTAATTTCATCTGTTCTTTGTACTTCCTTCAGTGTGGGTGCTAGAAGACATGAACTCGCGTATGTGGCTCAGGCCGTATTTCTGCTGGCCAGCGCCGGCCAGTCCGCTGCGGGAGTGCTCAGGAAGTCAAGGTGTTACCTCTAGATGTTGTTTAATCAGTTAAAAGAGTAACTTCTCCCCCGTATTTACTGACTAGGACTCGAGTCCTGGGTTTGCCTATAACTCACTGAGGGTTCAGGCCTGAGTCACCTTCTCCAGGGACCCTGGTTCTCTTGTGTGACAAAGTAGCGACTGAATTAGACTGTGTCAGAGGATCCTTTCAGCTCCAACACTATGCGATTCTGCCATTAATTGCCTATTCAGGGTAAGGACAGCAGAGAAATCTTCTTCTGGGACTGATATATTTTATAACCCCTGTTCCCTTTTCCTTATCTTGGCCTTCAAATGTCCCCTTTATGTAAACACAGTCAAAGATAAAATTTAACAAAACCTCTGTTTTCCTGGACTCAATGTAGCCAAAGCTGCTGCAAATAATAATTTGTTAATCAGACTCAAAGAGGTGGTTTAGCTGGATTTCCAGAGCTGCCTTCAAGGAAGCTGCTGATTTTTCCGCATGTGTTCACAGACACCAGGCGCTGGGAGGCCTGACGCGCGGCATCTTGTCCATCTGGCCATTGGAGCTCCATGCTGCGACGGCCGCGCAGAGGAGCTGGGTCCAGAGCGCCCGGCGCATCTGCCGTATCGCGGACTCGACGCCAGCATCACTGCTGCATGGATTCAGACTGGGATAGACTGCTCCCGAAATTTGACTTGGTATGTTTTTATTTTAGATTCAATGCTTATTTGGTAAACCCAGAGAGAAAATGGTGATGGAATTTTATAGCAATTCATGTATACTCATAGGTTCTTTTACCAGAGTTGTATTTTTAAAATACAGTTTCGATCGTGTCCATTGCTTGGCAGGAGAAGAAAGCGTGACGTGCACTTCCTGTGTGTGGCAGTCCGCGAGCCGTCCCCGGGCGCCCTCCTCCCGCCTCCACCACTTTGCGCCTGGCTTTCTCTTTGCCCGGAGGAGCCCTCCTCCCGCCTCCACTGGTGAAATCCTCCTCCGTCCTCACTGCCCAGTTCAAGTCCTCGTCCTCTTTCCGGGCTTCCTGGTTCTCCAGATGGGAAAAGAGGTGCTCCTAATCCACGCTCTCGCAGGAGAAGCAGAGCAAGCGCGCAGGGAGTGCTGACTGTCCATGAGACATCATCGGGATTTCTAGGTATTATCACGCAGAATTTCCACGAGGCAGGTACCAACGAGCTCACTGAGGCACAAAGAGATTAAATAGATGTCTCTAGGTCCCCCAGCTAGTAAGTGTCAGGCTCAGAGTAAAGCCCAGAGAGGCTGTGCTCTTAGCTGCGGCACTCTCTTGGGACATCTCGGTTGCCCTTTCCCCTAGATTGCGGGAGTTTTGGGGGCCTGGACTATGTAACGGCTAGCTTACAACAGTTACTTCACAAAGTACTTCTTAAATGAATGCATTAACTAATATTCAACCTAGGAAAAATGTAGGTTTAAACTTTTAAAAATCACACAAAATATTCAGTCTTCATCTAAAATTTGCCATTACTTAGGCTAGTTCATTTGCTTTCTCCCGCAGGCGAGATTCCCTGCTTTGGCCCAGATGAGGTCTGTAAAGCCACATGATGTCAGGGAGCGCAGGGAAGGTAATCCTGGCATGAGATGAAGCTATGGGGCGCGCTTGTCCCGCCCTCTCTGAGGACAGCTGGGACTCTGACTTGAGGGCAGTTCTTTCTAGAGGCCTGGGCACCCATTCACTTCCTCCTTGGCATTTTCATTTTCCTGTGGGCCCTCAGGGGACTTGGTTTTGCCCACCAGTTTCAGGAGTAATTCCAGGATTCAGGATAGCAAACATCAGGCAAGATGTCACTAATCTTTATCCCACTCTTTCTGGCAGTGATCTTTCATCAACCACTGCTTCTCCCTCCGGCTGGTCTTTAACCTCAGAATATTTCTCAACAAAGCTATTAGTAGTGGACTGGAGTTGACACTTGAAATATGTTTGTCATCACCAGCTGGGCATAAGCAAAGCATTTAGAGGAATCCACTCACACAAGTAAGCACGACCATGGCTATAGCAGCGGCCTGCCCATGGGTCCCCGTCCTTATAGTTTCAGTGCACACTTGCTGGATTTCCAGCTACAAGCACCTGGATTTCTCTGCCTGAGGATCTTCTATAGCTAAAAGAACCTGTTTTGGCACCTCCACACAAAAGGCTAGAAGTGCTGAGAATTAACAATAAACGGCTGCTTGGCTGGCGGGAGTTGGTGTATAAATACCCCAGCTCCCCCACCCCTCAGAGGTAATTTCTCCTTTTTGGGTATTCACATTAAACAGTTGTCATATCTACGACTGTGGACTTATAATGGTAATTTGCTTGATAATAAATGTTTATTTATTTATTTTATTTTCCTATCATATTTCTCCACTCTGCAGCTGGCGTTTCCTAGAATCACCTTCCAAATGAACCACCTGTACTTGAATGGTGGTTTGAGCGCTGGTGTCTGGAGGAACCAAAACTAAGACAATGGCTGTATCAAGAGTCTGAAGAATGAAGTCATGGTCGGAGTCTGAGTCATGCTTCAGAACTGTTTACTGAGAGAAAAGTGCTTCTGATGGAAGCTCACGCACCAGTGAGGTTGGGGAGCACGAGAAAGTGAGAACAGAATGGGGCTGAAGGAAAGGACAGGAAAGGAGAAGGGGTTACTTCAACAAGTTGGTTCTGCCGGAGGCTCAGGAACGTGGAGAAGCAGTTTGAGGTGTGCAGAGGAGAAATGCACAGAAGGCCAGGAAGCCCGACACTAGATCACTGCCTCCTGGGAAATCATGAAATCTGATTAAAACAGACACCGTAAGGGCTCTTTTTGTGCTATGCACTTTTCTTCCTGGGGAATTTGCATATTCCCTGATAAAAAGATAGATATAAAGTGTCCTGAAGAATATTAAGAAGTAAACCGTAGTACAACGCCTTTAGTTTTGAATAGTAAGAACTCTGTTTCCTCATTTCCTTTGGAAATCTAACAAAATATTCCTTATGAAAAATTTTTGAGGATAAGCACTTAAAAGACATTGCTACAAGCTGTGCTCCTAATGTTTTCTTATCATTTTTTACCTACATGGAAAGCATACAGATCACCATGACGGCCCCGTAGCTGCCAAGTGAAAGGGTGTTAAGATGATTTTGACCCTCTACATTGAATGTGCTGTCATCTTTACTGTAAAAGAAATTACCTAGACTCAAATCATTATCCAGAAGTCACTAAATCTTTTGACATAAAATGGCAAAATCTTTTAAGAATAAATGATATAGCAAGACCAAGGATAAACTGAGTTCAACAAAAATCAATTGCTGTGAAATCTAGTTTGTCTATTTTGATTTTGTCTATTTCCTTGTCTTTCTCCTGGGGAGAGGAGCAGATTTTGTACCTAAACCAAAGATGGGGACACCACTGGTGAAGCCGTTCTTTTGTCTTCTTCCCGCAACGCATGCCTCTGCTTGAACCTCTTCCCTCCCAGGTCTGAGGTGGGAGCTTGGGGACCCCAGGGTCCTAAGGGAATGACAATTGTGGCATTCATCTCTGGGAGGACAGGGGGAGAGGGTGTATAAGAAAATAGTGTTCAGGCCAGTTAATGACGTGAGCGGGGGAAGGGCAAGCGTGGGGAACGGAGCGGGTTCTGAGAGCAAGAAGGGGATGAAATGGGTGATTTGCTGCAGGCTGGAGTCGGAAGAGCACGTGCGGTACAAGAAGAATACACGGGAGGGCGCATTTCCATCGGAAGGGCTTAAAGAAAGTGAGGGGCAACACCATGTGGAGAGAATGTACCAATTCGGAGGGAGTCTTGTGAGGAACGTCACTAAGGCTGCACTGCCTGGCATGTACCTCAGTGGGAATTTTAAGGTGAAATACAAAGAAACTAAATATTTGTGTGATGCCTGGACTTCTTAGAACGAGCTCTGGCTTGGAGAGAAGCAAAGAGAAGGGAATGGAAGGCAAGCTCAGAGTTACTGAGTGCCCGTCCCATAGGGCGTACTCATTTGGTCTGGGAATAGTCAGGGTACCCGGTGAGGACATGTGCTCCAGGTCACTCCAGGTCGCCCCAGCCAGCAAGCGGTGGAGGAGAAACTCAAATCCAGGACTATCTGGCCCAAATTTTGCCCCTTCTACTCCACAGGAAAGATAGAGAGAAAACTGTAAACACCCCACTCAAGATGGGCTTGGTGACAACATGCTTAACCTGAAGTGCTGATGAGGGTGTGCTTTGTATTCCGAGAGCTGACCATGGGTTGTGCTTGCCTCATATGGTGGACAATGGAGAGGAGAGGGAAAGCGGAAGGGCGTGCCCCGGGGCTGCTGTCTATGGAGGAACTAGGGAGCCGGTGGGGGGAGGTAAGGGGACAGAGCACTTCGGTACCCACCTTGGTCCTAATGTTCTCTGGGCATTATTTTCCACACACATGATGATCCAATGGTGACGTGCACAGCAGATCTGGAGAATCCCTTGGGACTTCTGAAACCATCTACCAAGTCTTTCTCGACCTCGTGTCTATCTTTGTTCACACTGTCCCATTGCCCGGAGTAGACTGCCTTTGCTCTCCAGCTGGTTGGCTTCTCATCCATGACCTTGCTCAGGCATCTTCTCCTTCTGGAAGGTTCCACAAACTCAGGCCTAGGCTCTGTGCACCTACGTCTTCACATTTCAGCCTAGAATGCCGTTAAGCGTTAGGTGGGTGTTGTGTGTTCAGTGTCTGCCGCTCTCATAAGTGACGTGCCCCTTCAGGCAGAGGCAGCGTCTTATCCAGTGTTTCTTCCCCGGGCTTTATTGCACAGCAAGCGCTCAACAAATGTTTTCTTCAAACCAGGTTTAACTACATTCCATCTTCCTTTATGTAGTTTCCATTTATTTTTTGTTCAGTAGAAGAAAATCACTCTTTGAAATGCTGCTCTTGTCCACCATGTTCATAAATAACGGTCAGCAAGGGCTGTGATAGCAGAGGGCACTGACGGAAGGATCTTGGGTCAGAGATGGGTTCTTTCACCTGTCTCTCAGACTGCCAAATTGCCACAAAGTTTTCGCCCTGAAAAGTCTGACAGTCAGTGTGACTTTCCAACTGCTCAGTCACACGCATGGCTTCAGCCTGGAACTTGACAGTTACACAAGGCGGATAACGAAGGTCCTAGGGGTGAAACCCAGGCGTGTGTAGTTTTTAAATCTTCTCGGGTCATGATGATGGGCAGCCAAGATTAAGGGCCTCTACTCCTGTCAGACTGTGAAGTGACACTGTTCTTCTTCACTGAAGGATCGGGACCATTTCCAAAGGGCATCGCGATGTTCTTGATGGTGTGCTGCCTGAAGGTGAACACTCTGCCTCAGTCCCCCCAGACAGGACGCCTGCTTTCGCCTCCTGAGGCCATGCTGACAAGCCCCACTCCAACGCTGGCGGATGCACAGCCCGGGCCTTCTTTACTGGGAAGTCGGGGGGGCCTCAGTGTTTCTCTGCTCCTTAGGAGGTAGAGGACACCAGAGTGTCGCCATGCTCCGGGAGGAACTTAGCGCTATGTTTGGACTCTGACAAAATGAAACGCGGACTGACAGACCCTCCTTCTCAGCCTTGTTCTCTTTTTGGTGAGCCTTACCGCACAGAGTGCGGCTAACATCACGGCCTGAGTTCTCCGTCGCTGAGAAAAATCTGAAGCCGGGAGGAGTTTTTCGGCTCCTTCGGGCTCACTGTCGGCTCCCAGGACTGTATTTCTCTCCTAAGCAGTCCTGATTACGAGTCTTATTGATAACACACAGCAAATCACTGTGTGGTGATGCCTGCGACTTCTACACTGAATACAGCCTACAGAACAGAAGAGCTTGTCAGATATCCGAAAAGAACTTTTGTGAGCTTCCAGGTTGCTTGTCATGTCCTCTCATGTGGCTGCATCACCATGGTCAGAGAAGGCTACAACTGACCTGCTCTGCTTCCCTTGGGGCTTTGAAAGGAAGGATGGACTTTCAAACCACACAGAGCTGGAGGTTGTGCCATTTACCAAAGGCAAAGGGAAAGCTTCCGTCAGCCCTTTTTAAAAGTCCGTAGAAAATGTGGTCTTACTAGTTTCCTTGGGTGTGTTGCTTCTGGAGTGCCCATCTTCGCATGAGGGGTCCCGTTCTCCTGCCGCAGCCCCCGGTGGATGATCTTCCTGTAGTCACTGGCTCTGTCCTGGAACTCAGCTGAGTCAGGGTCACCCAGTGGACAGACCGCCCTCCCCCCGGGACCTGAGAAGGGGTGGAGTAGAACCAGCCTCTTGTGCTTCCTGCCGCCTGGTTCTCAAACTTGGCTGGACATTTGATCCATCTGGGGAGTTTTTAAAAATCCTGATGCCCACGCCTAATCCCAGATCAGTTAAATTCTGGGGGTGAAACTCAGGCTTCAGTATTTTTTAAAGCTTCTCAGGCTGTTCTGACGGGCAGCAGAGGTTAAGCTCCTCTGCTTAGATCTAGTCCCTTTGGTCCGCCCAGTACTGCCCATCAGATTGAGCAGGTAACACTGTTGTTCTGTACTGAAGTACTGAGACCATTTCAGAAGAAAACTGCAATGTGATAAAAGGAAGATCAAAGTTCTTGTTAATTTGTACTTCACTTGGGTCTCTCAGGAAGGCGCTCAAAGACCCATCACGAGGAGGAGGTCTCCACCTCCTGCCCTCACCACTCCAGCCGTCATGGTCAAAGGGACATGCCTCTCAGAGCTCTCCATCCAAAAACTGTGTCCGCTACCCCAGGAAAACACACAGCTGCTCACAGAGTGGCCCCCTGCCCTCGACCCATCCTCACAGCCTCTGCTCTTCTCCCCCCGCCCCTGTTTATTCTCAAGAAGCTTCCCTGGCACTCAAGCTGGGACAGGGTTGTGTCCTTGGGCACACGTCTTACAGCAAATAGGAAGACCCAGGTCCCACTGTCTTTCCACTCGTGTGAACTGTACGCGTGCTGGTCCTTTTGACCAAAAGACTCACTAAAATCAGCCTGTTATGTCCCAAATAGGAGACATGGTATTTGGAGGAAAGTACAGTCTAATCTAATAATAAGATAACAATCCCACTTACTGTGAGGTGTCTTTTTAGCTCTATCTGCGAATGCCTACCAGAACCTGGTTGAATTCTTACATTTCCGTAGAGTGGGAGTGGGTAGGTCTCGTTTCACTGGATTTTTAAAAAAAAAATTTAATAGACTTTATTTTTTAGAGCATATTTAAGTTTACAGAAAAAATTACACAGAAAGCACAAAGATTCCATATACTCCCTCTCTGCCCACACACAGTTTCCTCTATTACTGACATCTCCCACTAGTGCAGGACACTTGCTGCAATTGATGAACCGATGTTGACACGTTGTTATTAACCAAAGTCCATAGGTGACATTGGGGCTCATTCCTTGTGTTGTACATCCTATAGGTTTGACAAATGTATAATGGCATGCACCCACCGTTACAGTGTCCTGCAGAGTAGTTTCACTGCCCTAAAAATGCCACACGTCCCACCTTCTCCTCCCTCGCCTTGAACCTCTGGCAATCACTGATCTTTTTTACTGTCTCTATAGTTTTGCGTTTTCCAGAATGTTATATAGTTCAAATCATACAGCCTTTTCAGACTAGCTTCACTTAGCAATATCAGTTTAAGCTTTCTCCATGTCTTTTCATAGCTCAGGATCTCATTTCTTTATATCACTGAATAATATTCCATTGTCTGAACATACCACAGTTTGTCTATCCTGTCACCTATGGAAGGACATCTGGGTTTCTCTCAATTTTTGATAATTATTAATAAAGCTGCTATAAACATTTGTGTGCAGGTTTTTGTATGACAATTTTTCAACTCAGTTGCATAAATACCTATGAGCACAATTGCTGGATCACTTGGAAAGACGATGCCTAGCTTTGTAAGAAACCGCCAAACTGTTTTCCAAAGTGGCTGTACCATTTTTCCTTCTTCATTCCCACCAGCAATGAATGAGAGTTCCTGTTGCTCCACATCCTCATCGGCATTTGATACTGTCAGTTTTGGACAGTCACCATTCTAATAGATGTGTAGTGGCATCTCATTGTTTTAATTTGCAATTCCCTAATGACACGTGATTTTGAACATCTTTTTATATGCTTACTTGCCATCTCTATATCTTTTCTGGTGAGGTGTTTGTTTAGGTCTTTGCCTATTTTTTAATTTAGTTGTTTGCCTTCTTTTTGTTAAGTTTTAAGAAGTTGTGTATACTTTGGGTACATACAGTTTGTCTTCTTATTCTCTTAATAGTGTCTTTCACAGGGCAATTTTTTTTTTTTTAAAGATTTTATTTTTTCCTTTTTCTCCCCAAAGCCCCCCTGGTACATAGTTGTATATTCTTCGTTGTGGGTCCTTCTAGTTGTGGCATGTGGGACGCCGCCTCAGCGTGGTTTGATGAGCAGTGTCATGTCCGCGCCCAGGATTCGAACCAATGAAACACTGGGCCGCCTGCAGCGGAGCGCGCGAACTTAACCACTCGGCCACGGGGCCAGCCCCTTACAGGGCAATTTTTAATTTCATTGAAGTCCAGCTCATCAATTCTTTCTTTCATGAATTGGGC